ATATATATATCTTATGTGTTTATAACAACAGTCTAAAACATGAAAATGTACTACATGTCATGCTTCAATATTACTCGCACTTCAGATATATCCATCTTGCGGCAAGAGGAAATCAATGTTTTTAGACGTTTCCTATTTGGTAACACAAGTTGACATAAATATCGTTCTGTTTTTGTTACTCGTGGAATGCCAAGAAAGATAGAACATTTGTGTCACTAAACAGAGAGCGTTTTTTAACAGCATATCATCATCGAGAGTTATTTTATTGAATGTTACAAAGATTTTCCTTGATATGATCATCCTTGGTCGCGTTGGTCGCAAAACACAGGAACTTCAATTTACGATGAACATAATCGGTGTACCGCAACTCGATATATCTAAAGTCCGAGTAAAGTTCTATCTAATCCTCTGTACGCTGAAAATACCTAATCTCGATGCGTTTACAGAAATTCACGAGCTTCGGATGATCCCGTACGATCATAGCCAGCTTGTTGTCAAGTAACGGTGTCGTGATTATCGTGAATATGTGACCAAAAACCAAAGCGTCCAACTCATTCGGTTTGCTACATACAAAATCATGTGAAAAAAATCTCGTTAATATCGCACCTAGCGGTCGATATGTATATTTGTATATTTGTAAAATCGTTACACATATTTACTTAGAAAAAGTTAGATATATTTCATTAATTGAACGACAATGTAAAAGAATGCTCGGAAAGAGGAGGAAGCGATTCAGGTTGTGATCGAAAGCCATCCCACAGAGTATCTTTGGAGGATGATTCAATTATTTCAAACTCTTCCGCAATCTTGTTTTGTATTCCAATAGTAATTCTAAAGTAACGATGTTTGATTTGGAACATGTGCTCGATAAGCTTGGGAAACTGACGAATTATAGCAGCGACTTCTTCATTGTAAGGGAAGGAGGGCGACGTGAGAGTGTAAATATGACCGTATACCAGGGCATCGACTTCGGTGGGTCTTATGGAACAGGATTGTAATTTGTCAAGTGTCAATTGAATTGATAACAAAAAGGAGTGAAAAGAAACACAATTCACTACTTACTCTTTCCCAAAGAAAAATTCTTCGTCCGCTAGCCTCTCAGATAATGCTATGCAACACTTCTTTACATCGTCGAAAACTTCATCCAAACTTTTGTTGTACCAGCCGAGTATGCTGAGTTTTTTTATGACTTCTCGTCTCTTCTGCCAATTCAGATAATGATTAAGTGGCCAAGGGTATACGCTTCCGTGCCTCTGCTTTGTGATATTTAAAATCGCAGGGTCTACCCAGCAGATGTATAGCTCAGCGTTAACAAATACATTGTTAACAAGAGACTGGTATGCTCTCATGTCCACTTTGCCATCAGGATCCAGATGATTGGAGAGGCTTATTCCTTTACTTCCTATGTGTGCTACTATACCATCAAACTCAGATATTAACTTTGTGCCGCACTTGATGAAGGGCACGCGGCCTGACGGTGACATAAACTCTGCATTCTTCCTCGGTTCTATTTGAAAATCAAGCTGACACATCTTGAGGAAAGCCTGTACCGCAAGACAGTTTGCATTGTCGGGAAGCAGAATCTGCTCGACCTCGTACGGCTGATACAAGATAATCGGTTGTGGCCATGGCTCCTGAGCTGCGACAAGAGAATGCAATTGTTAACGACGCTCACAAGGTGGTTCACCTATATTCTCTAATGACACTTATATAATCGGTACTCGCATACGCATACATGTGAAGAACTAACGAGTGAAAAGCTATGACGTAAGGGAAAAAAACTGAATGATTGAGGTAAGGTCGAATAGTTGGGTATTTACGAATTTGACGGTGACAGCATGCAAGAAGGCTACGCGCGGTTTTGTTTACAGTTTTGTTGATGCAAGGTTAGATCCCTCAAGCGGGATTTGTGGGAACGGCGGTTTGGACAATGCGATTCAACGCGATTTTCAGACGTTACCTTCTAATTCCACCGCGATCGAATCGCCCAGCAATACGTGCGGCATGTCTACGACAATCGTACGACGCGACGCTGCTTCTTATTTCACTCTCAAAATCCACAACCGATCGCTCGTATAAAAGCGCCACGAGCGAGAAACGAGCACGCTACACGCACTTTCTCCCTTCCAATCTCACATATATAGTATTTATATCCAGTTTATATCTTACGCGAAATAAAGTTGACAAAAATAGACGAAATTTATGGAAAATTCGACTATATTTTGATTGATTTAATCAGCGATAAATTTATCAAATAATATATACTTTTTAGTATTTTGATAATATGGATGGAATTATTATTGTGAAAAGAATTTGATTATGTGTAGTTATAATTAAAGCTTGTTGGATCCTCGGCCAATCAAATCAATCGCCGATTACTTATAAACTAAATTAATTGGAGTTTAATTGAAAGTGTCATATTTACCGTGTAAATTAATAAAGCATCGATCCTCCCTTGTGGAAATATCTCCGGTTTCTTCCGTGTCGACTCGAGATTTCTCCTGAAATCGATGCAAACAGATGAAATCTTATCTCTGTCTGGCAGTTATTTATGAAATTATATATTATTTTTATATTATATTTTTATGTTACATTAATTATAATGTTATTATTCGTTGAAAAGTACCCAGCAAACGAGAATGGATTAAAATGGATGGAAATTTTTTTCTATCCGAATGCGTATTTTAAATAGCGAACTACTTTTTTTTGGATTTAATTGGATTCAATTGGATTCAATTAGATTCAATTGAATGCAATTGGATTGAAAAACTGCATTGCCTATTCAAAATTTTGAATTGATCAGTATTCACAATGCACAGAAAAAGCTAATATTATCTTTAGATTGAAAGGCATAGAGATATGCTCCATGCAATTTCTATAAATGAATAAAAATGCATTCAGGATTAAAATGCATTCATTTTAACATTCGTGAATCAATATTTCTGAAAATCTGAATCCATTTCAATTCATTTTAATCCATTCTCGTTTGTTGGGTAACCTTTGAGAACTTGAGGTCAGATAGAAATGCATGCAGGACACGTGCGTGCAATGTCAAATTATTTTTCTTTTCTATATCTTGAAACTCATTCTGATAAGAATACATGGTCGTTAAACAAGAACCTCGCATTTTCTTGATAAGACTTGTAATTTTCCGCTGCGGTTTAAATTTTGATCGGAGTTTTATAGTTGCATGTGTTTTTTTTTTTTAAAGGTGCAATTTCATACAACGAAAGAAAGCTGGCTTTTTATCCCCACTTCGACAATCAAAGCAGCATTCAAAAGCTGTTCGCTCTTCTCCTGCTTCCTTTTGCGTATTTTCGCTAAGTTAGAAATTAAACTGGCGAACACAATCGTTGGAGAGCTGGAAAAAAAAAGAGAAACGATGGAATTCAGCAACAAAGCAAAAAAACTTGCGCTACGAGATAATAAAATAGAATAGTGTTTCAAAACCAAAATAAATTGGTTCATATATATGTGCGAATGTGCGAACTGAATTTTGTGTATGTAACATTGAAATGAGATGAAAATTACAAAAGTGAGCGAATTTATTAGAATATTTATAATTCTATTGGTCAAATTCTGGTCACTTTTGTTCACTTTTGTAATTTTCACCTTGTTTGAAAATACGCAATCATACCTATACCTCAAATAGAGGTCTCCAAGTTTTTAGAGATTTTTACTACAATTGTTTGCAACATATATTCGAATTATACATAAAAAATTTCTATTTAAATTATATGTATTTAAATTACTATATATTGTATATTATATAACGTATATTAAATAAAAACTCCAACTTATATGTGAAGTTTATAATTAGATAAATTTAACATTTAAGTTAATCATTTCTATCACGTTTCGTTATCCACAGAATACAAATTACATGGCATCAATATTATAATTCCTTTTAATCAGGGTTTGTAGAAACCATGTTTTAAACATATTTTAAACTATTTAAAACATGCTTAATCGATGTTTTTAACATATTTTACAAAGTTATTTTATAATACTGTCTAAAGCATGTACGAAGCATTAAAAACATGTTTAAAAAAACATTTTTTTGCCAACCTTGCTTTTAACAATATACGTATATAAATCTAATAATAACACATCATGTTTTACTTTGTCGAGTATAATAACATTAATTGCAACATTGTTGTATGATATTACTGTTTGTTCAACAGTTGTGCGGATCTAAAATATTTATTAAAAATGAAATATAAGCGAGGGGGAAAAAATTGATTCTCTCCAGTTCAATTGTAATTTCTGGAATAGCAATCGCGTACTATTATAAATTGCAGACTCTTTTATCGCCGACAAATATTATGTCCGCGATTATTATAACGCGTATTATGTCAAGATCGATGAAATGGGTGAGAACCTTCCGGGTGGTCTGAACTCCGAAGTCGTTGGAGGCGGAAGGGGAGAGTGCGCTCTGAACGTTGGAGCATGTTTGTGATTGATCGCGATTAATTGCGGAGGACGATTGGTATGCATGACGTTTGTCGCCTCGCCGCCAATCACGCGATCTCATTGGCCCAAGAGGGGCCGAAAATCGAATCAAATTCCATCGAGACGCGACAGTTGCCGATACTGGATCCCGTTTCGATTAATAAGAGGATCGTGTGAGAGAGGAAAAGAAAAAGGAACGAAACAACAGAGAGGGAAAGATGGAAAAAAAGTCGTCGATTTGGCGTATTATAAATACACCAGAAGATTGAAGGCAGAAAGTAGAATGTATTTTTCAATCTGACGAATCTCTATCCTTTTTGATATCATCGATTTTTATAATATATATTATTAAAGTTTGAACTTTTTCGTTTAGACAAAAATCAAACTTTAATTTGTTTTAAAAAATATTGCAAATATATAGAAAATGTATATATATATATATATAATTAACAAATTATGTATATGTTTGAAATTAGAATCAGAATTGGAAGAAAGTGCGTATCCCTAATCGAGTATATAGCATCGAGTCACCACCCTCCTCTTCCTCGTCCTCCTCACGTCCGTCGTTCTATACGTCCATACGTTCTGTAGACTCTGTATGTGTCTGTGTCGTCTGTATCGGCCCGCGAATGAATACGAGCACGAGCAGTATGAGTGAGCTGTGAGGATAGAGGAGCATCGCGTTGCGCAAACGATCCGCGCCGTCGGGCGACCAGCAGGCCGCCAGTCTACCTAAGTCCATCGTTCACGCCGTGCTATCATCTTCCTGCGCTAAGCGCTACATTCAGAGTAGGTATACTGTACTTGTTGCTTACGGATGGGCCGCGCGGCGCAGTTCGTCACGGGGCATAGATAGAGGTGGGATATCGAGATAGAGAAGGAGGGTGCGAAGAAGTAACGGCCGGTCGTGCGAGAAGAGAAGAGACGAGAAGAGACGAGAAGAGACGAGAAGAGACGAGAAGAGAAGGGAAGGAAGTAGGAAAGAAAGGGAAGACTACACGCACGGCTCTCCACGCCACGCGACACCTCTGTATCGCACGCGCCGATCGGTGCGGATCAACGCAAGCCGGGTGAGAGAGAAACAAAGAGAGATAAAACGTGTCTCGGTGACGATCGTGGATCGTCACCGATGTACGTCAGCACTGGTCAGCACTCGACACGCCAGCAGGGCCGCCGGGTAGCCTCGATCGAACGACGGAGCACGTAACGTGTCCCCGGCTACCCCGCTGCGAGAGCTGGAAAACCCTGGCCTTCCTAACCTAAATTCGAAATTCTGTCAGTCGGTGCCGAAAGTACGGTAGTCTGTACGATGAGGAAGGGAGAACGAGGAGGAGGTGAACGGCGACGAGGTTTCTCTCCTCGTTCCCTTCTCTCTCGCCTTCTCCTAATCTCCCACCTCCGATTTTTTGACAGCTAAAAATACAGTTTTTGATAGCGGCTACGCCGCGGCTATTTCGGCGCCGGCCGTAATGCCTGTAATTCTCGGCCGTACTTTTCCGCGTTCGCGAAGGTCCCTCCTCGCCGACGCGTGGAAATCCTTCGTGCGATGTCCTTTCTTTTTTTTTCCCCTCTCCTTGTAAAAAAAAAAAAAGGATCTGCGCGGTAAAAAGGAGCAGTGCGATTCGATCGAGGCGTAAGTAGATCGAGATCTCGCATCGATTCGCGTCTAGCTTCATTGTTTACGGATTCGTACATACATGCGTTTACGAATTGCGACACGCGGCGTGTCTTGAACGCATGAGGATCGACGACACGCGTCAACCGCGTATAACGGTGTTACCTGCGTATGTAGAATAGCGTCGTTAAACGACGGTTAGCAGATCGAAAGAGAAAAACAAGGTGTGAGGGCGAGCAGCACGTACCGGTGTCGAATATCATACGCAGATACGAATGAACGAAATACCGAAGTCGCCGGAGATCGGATATCGATTTATTTTTAGTCGCGTACGTTATCGGCATCCTATCATTTGCGCACGTTATCACACCTTGTCGCCTGTAATTTATGGGAACCGAATAATTATTCCTCCGAATAAAATGTTTAGATTTACACTTTATAACAGATTGTCACTTGATACTTGAAAATTTCCCATATTTTCAGGTTGATTCGGTTACTTTCGGAGCTTTTCACGCTACAATTTCGAACAATTTGTATACGAGATAAAATTTAAATCCCATTTTCAAAGTTCAAATGTTTGTTTCTTTCTCTTTGATATATCTTTCGGTATCCCCCACACAATGAAAGGGTTGCCATACTGTTGAATCCTCGAAAATTGAATTTAAATGTTATATTTTGTTCAAAATTGTACCACCTTGTCCTAACATTTTTTTTCCCCCGATACTATCTTAAGTCGTAATTTCTAAGCTTCGAGTTGGTTAGATTCCAACTGCAAAATTAAAAGCTTGGAGCAAATTAACGTCGCAACGGAGCTTGGATCTCAAAAGGCTAAGGGGTTACTACATCTATTATAGACCGAAGTTAATCCTAAGATAACACAGAGTACACGCGAGGAAGAAACAATTGGAAGCAACAGAGTCAAGCTCTTTTTTTCAGACAGTAAATTCGATAGACTGAGCGAAACGAAGAAACGCAATTCTCACACGTGGGACGACGCAATTAATTAGCAAGCCGAGCCGTTTTCGGATTTCCGACGAGAACAATCTGCGCGTCGGTCCTTTTAGAGAGACATGTAGTGCACGAGAGATGTCACATCTAGATGTACGTGGCGCTCTCACGTGCGCGCGTATCAGCTTTATTTTAATCTCTTTCGCGCTCTTTAATGCCGAACGGCTCGTCATCTCATGGGGAAGTTAATCGTTACTTTATATTTAGCCGGGTTTAGCTGCATAGTTTTATTGTGATGCGCGTACGAGAGTACGCTTTTAATATAGATTAGATGTTTATATATACGTATACGCGGCAGAAGAATGAGTCAGGCAGCACACATTGCATAAGATGTCGCGACGCTGGATGGGCCTATGGCCAGACTTAGCCGTAGATTGCTTGTATCAATAAATGCAGCGTTGGACAGATATTTGTTCAAGTAACATAATTTTACTCGTTCACTGATTCGCTCGTTATCTGACGATTTCGAAGAAACATTAACGTTGAAAAAATTTTTTTCAAATATTTCTACACACCTTTTGTTTTTTTGGATATATTTCTGGGGTTTTTCTTCTTCACCGGCCTTGTAATAATTTACTTCTATCGCACGAATTATTGGTGGGAGTTACCCAGACGTAACGAAAGCGAAGGTTGAACAATTTTTAAAATAATTAGTTAAACGTTGTCACTTATAAAGAAACGCTTTGTTGCACTTGTAAGTTAGACGTTTGTGAAACGCTGTCGCAAACACTTCTAGTTCGCGATGAAGTTATCGTGGTTTATAAGTAAGATTGTCATGTAAGTATACAAGTAATGCGGTGCGAAATAGCTTGAAGTCCTTTATAACTAATCGTTATAATTTTTTTTATTAATCTCAAAATAATTAATCATACTCATTGTTATAAAAATTTACTGGTAATTACGGAAAAGAAAGAAATAGTATTGTTGATGATAAGAAGATAGTGAGGAAAGAAAAATATTAAAATACTGTTATCATTATTTGATTACTCAAGCTATCTGGTTATACTTGACATATTATCATGGAATTTGTGATAATTGTTTCCTGCGCAATGTTGCACGTATGTTAGTAAGTCTGCAGAATTAATTCTCCAACAATTGAAATGGGCGCTTTGCAACTTCCCATGCCTATAGATCGGTATAGTTAAAATACGGTATACATTCGTGTGTGTATATATATATATATTTTTTTTTTGTTTTGGCTCAAATTACTCATGGCGATGCCGCCTTTCAGGATATGTTACGTGCGATTCAAAATTTTTTATATTTTAGTAGTCCTGTACCTCCAAAAAATGGACTTTGATGGCTCGGGATAAGAGACTTGTAGTATCTTTTTTTTTTTTTTAAACATACCCGGAGACACTACCGCGTATCTCCTGATATATATACACAATATATTTATATATGTATATATGCTCTGCTTTCAGGAGGCTCATCATGTCACATCATATCGTTACCGTATGCGTGGTGTGTGTACTGTGCGCCGCACATGTACCCTGTTCGGCGCATACGAATTTGTCGGTGATGGCATCGGATAATTCAACAAGTACCAAAAATCATTCGGATCCACAAGGACAACCGTATATATACTTGAAGAATCAACAGCGATACGATCCAAGTAACTTCACTAGCAATAAGCACGACGCTGTAAGATCTCATCCTATTCAACGCATTGACAGTAATAGCAATAATAATGTTTCGGTAACCATTGACGCGATATCGACTGCATCATATGATACTCGTCTTAAGAAACAGATGACGGAAAGCTTCAAAGGCGGCGGCAATCTACAAGATATACGATCGCCAATTAACAACGCACGTGTGTCTGTAAATTCGAGAGATGCGGAACTGTTGGAACGTCTTGCTCAAACAGAATTGGTGGCAAGTGTCAAACAAAAGTCTGTACAATCTAGCGAAGATTTACGTACCGTTAATAAATCTAGATTAAAAAGAGATGTGAATGAGAGGTACTTCATGCAGAAGATCTTTGAGGCCTACGGAGATGGAACGAGTATAACTATGGAAGGTTTTGAAAAACTTGTCCGGAAATTGGGTCTACTAAGATTATTTGATACGTTAGAGGTGGATAGTGGTTCTACCACTGATAGAAGTATGTATAAAATTAGTTGGTAATAAACACATGTTCGACATACACATTAAAAGATTATAGTAAACTTAGAGAAAACTATCTTCAAACGTTACAGATAATAAGAATTTTCCAAGTAAAGGCCTACACGATGCAGATAGTAACAATAATAAGGAAAGGGTAAGATATGCGCTATTTATCAGAATAATTTAATTCTTGAGAAATTTGTTTTGTAGTAATTATACTACAGTAGTACTATAATTATACATAATGCGTCGACACAGTGCGTTTACTTCTATTTCAGTGCTTAAATAGTCAAGAGTTGCTAAGTATTGTTGCCCAAGATACACACTACGTTTCTAGTAATAACACGACGACATTGCCTAGCTGGCTTTTCGAACGCGTGTGTCCGGTCCTTATGTATCAATTAGCGGCCGAATCCAGTTCGGAGAGAAACGGCTGTATACGAGTACCCGAGAACTACAAGCATGTCATGCCAATTGATAAATTTTATACAACGGAGGATTCGGCGCGTAATACTGTAAAAGGTATTATATGGATGTAAATGAACAAAATGCAATGATCAATTTAGTCTTAAAGTCAGTTCTCTTTGAAGAAAGGCAATAAAAAAATTGTCACTTTTATTTATTCCAGTCTGGGTATATTCAACAGTTAGTATTTTCGTAATTAGTCTTAGCGGACTGCTCGGCGTAGCAGTAATTCCGATCATGGGAAAGAATTATTACCATCACGTGTTACAATTTCTAGTTGCCCTGGCCGTAGGTACTTTAACCGGTGATGCCTTTATCCATCTATTACCACACGCAAGTTTTTTTTTATTTTATCAAAGTGTTATATACATCCGTAATAGAATGATATATTTTAATATTACAGTATCTTATGTTTGTAGGCGATGATGCCGCTTCATCACCATGAAAATGATAAACATCACGAACACGAACATCATCATGATGACAGTAACGCGTTATTAATCGATCATGTGAATCTACATAGTATGAATATGTGGAAAGGATTAGTCGCTATGATGGGTTTCGTGATATTCTTTTTCACTGAGAAGGCGTTAAATGTGATATCCGAATGGCGAAAGCATTGGCAGCATAAGAAAAAGGTGAATAAAAGAGGAATCTTTATCTTCGTAAACGATTGATTTCTTATGTTATATCAATCGGTGAAATAATATTGTAGTTACCTACGCGCGTGAGAGTAATGAGGGAGAGTGATGGGCCAAACAGCAATGTTGTCGGTGAAAAGCTGTGTAAACACAAATACTCTTCGTACCCGTATTGTTACGGCGAGATTGCTAGTGAAACTCAAGGTGACAGCTGTTTTTTGTATTAAATTTAATGTATATTAAATTTCGTGATTATCTGGGCTATCGCGTTTCGAAATAGAGCAGCTTGTCATGTTAATATATTTATTTCAAAGGCATATTAAAAGATAAAAATAATCAATGAAATATGCAGATAATCATCACAATCGTCGAATAAATCATGAAAGACCACCTATCATCGACGAGGAGAAACCATTGACATCCAATTGTAACTCTGTCACGAAAATCGTGACCGATGACATAGAGAAAAAACCAAAAGATGATTGGAGAATGGATGATCCGATTGTAAATGCTAAGAAAAATGCCGATGGTGTTGACGTATCATTAAATGAATCGGAGAGCTATACCGTCATTCTACGTGAACACGAGACCAAACATCATGGCCATAGTCATTCCCATGGTGCGTTTTCAACATTTTATAATAAAATATTGTATAAATATTATAATCTTACGCAATGTGTGCATATCTGATAGCACGAACGTTTCGATTCTAGGCCACGTACACTCGGCTCCCGAATCAATGTCCAATGTGGCTTGGATGGTTGTAATGGGGGATGGTCTGCACAATTTTACGGATGGCATGGCTATCGGGGCAGCTTTTTCAGCAAACATCGCAGGTGGATTCTCCACGGCTATTGCTGTTCTCTGTCATGAATTACCTCATGAACTCGGTATTGTCTCCCTGATGGTGTACCTATAAATACATATGTGTAACTACGGCGAATTCGATTGGACCGCACTAGTGCGTACTGGTGTATATTAAAGCCGTTGTACACTAATTTAATTTGAGTGTAAAAGGGAAATGCAAATAATTCGAATTATAAAATACATATTTTACCTAACAGCATAATAAAGTGAGTTTAGTATTTCACTATTTAATGGGTTTAATGGGTTTAATGGGTTTCTATGTTTATAATAATAATCGTATTTTTGTACGATAATTTGTGTACGACGGCGATAATGTGCGTCTGTGCACACTAAGTGCGTCCATTAGAATTCGCTATTAGTAATACAATAACGTAAATATTCTTGTACAGGTGACTTTGCAGTGCTTCTGAAAGCGGGCATGAGTACCAAACAGGCTGTTTTTTACAATTTATTGTCTTCAGTGCTTTGTCTGTTAGGTATGATAGGCGGAATATTGTTAGGAAGCACTTCCGACGCTACCAGCTGGATATTTGCGGTTGCCGCTGGAATATTTATATATATAGCATTAGTAGATATGGTGAGTATACTTTGTTCTACGAAAGATTTACAATAACTTAAGAATGAAACGCTTCTTGAATTATTTCTTTTTCCTTAGATACCAGAATTGTCGTCGAGTCATTCCGCGGAAAGTGGTTCGCGATTACAATGCATTTGGCAAACTTTAGGCTTATCGACAGGCCTTGGAATTATGTTACTTATCGCCGCCTACGAGCACGATCTTAAACATATTTTCGACAACTAGATTAAGTAATTGCTCTCGTATTAATGTTATAAATGAAATCTCTTCCTATTACGTTCAAACTATAGTATCTCTTTGTGATTTAATCTCATTAGCAATCCTTCAGCATGTAACGTTACAATGAAAGTAAGTTCTCTCTTTCTTTCTCCCTTCCACTTTGAAATTATTTCTTGTATTTCGAAAAAAAGAACGTAATGGGAAGGCTACACAAATTAGATCGCGGTTTAGATAAAACGACAATATCCGAACTCGGATTGCCGATAAAAGTACTTTAGAAAAACGAAAGTGTTGAATTCTGAAGGAATAGGATTTCTATTAGACAGAGTACCAGTAATCGAATCATGTCAAGCAATCGAATTACAAACCGTGTTAATTATTTCCGAACCAACTTATACTAAAGATATTCCCATGCCTTTTCCGAGCTTGGAGATTCAGCTTGGAGATACTCTTATCGGATGAGCAAAATTAATTTTTCCATCATAATAAGATAAATTTTTAATTGTCTAGTAGCTATGTAAATAGTTATCAAGAGACTGAACGATTTTGAAACAAGTAACAAATTTTTTTCTTTTGCGAAGTTAATTACATGTCAACAACATTAAATGTATTGAGAGGGAGAGTCATGTATAGTATTGTTTTACGAAAAAAAAACATTAACTTTGTACAAGCTCTGTGTAGATTGCACATGGAACGTTTAGTACGATATTTTCGATTATTATTATTATCTAGGTGGAAGAACGGTACAAAAGAGTATATTTAAAGAGTATATTGTTAGTTTGCAGCAAATTTGTGATAATTTTGCATAACCGAGTTACTTACGAATCAATGTATATTTCATTATAGATACACAACTACATTATTACGAGACTTTGAATATTATCATGTTCTTACAATTTAAATAGATTTATCACTAGATTTTTAGAGATAAGAATGTTCAGAATCAGTTATTTTTTTAACTGCTTGTTATGTATTTTTTTTTACAAGAGTGAAAAAAGTGCTGCACGGTCTCAAAAAAGATTTATCTCACAAATCAACACGGCTTAGGAGAAGTATCATACATGACAATATTTGAAACTTGTATTTATGTTTATAATACACGAGTGTTTATTTTCGCCAAATATTAATGATAACAATAATATTAATAATTGTAACGATAATGATAGTAATAATTTTAGGATTTTATATACACTGTATTGAGAAATGCTAAGAACTTTAAGAATTTTTTCACGTCACTTTTACTTCATGATCGTTATGATGTGCATATTGAAATGCATGTAAATGTAACGAAAAATTATAGCTCTATAAGAAATTGTACTGTACGTTGCTATGATACATTGATTTTTCAAAATTATTGCTATTCTGTCAAAAATTTAATTCCATCCATATATTATAAGTTCCTCTTTTAATTATACATAAGTATTAATATATATATTTTTTATAACCAATAACGTATGCGTACAATTTTGGTTATTTTTTATAGAAAATGTAAAAATGTAAAGAGCGTTACATGTTTTTGTATAATCAATTTTGTTTGTGCACAACTGAGATTTCAAAACTATGAGATACAAATAAAATAAACACACTCTTCTTTTAATTAAAAAAAAAAAACCATTTTACTTATTTGGTATTTGAATATAACATTTACTCGGATGACATCTGAGATAATAAGACAGAAATATTTTAAATACTCGAATACTAAAATATTCAATGGCGAAAATGATTAAGAAAACAACCCACGAATAGAAAATAGAAAGTACATTGCTTAATTTAAATAAATATTAATAATAAAATTATAAAAGCTTTTGTTTCTCCAATTCCTTGAAGATACATCTTTAGTGTAGTGTCATTTTCCTCATCAGTCCTGCCATATCATTTGGATCGATTTCTTGTGCTTCATCCACCACGTCAATTTCCATCAATTGACTATCTATCGATCATCAATGCTTCTTGCTTTACGGGTTTTTCCTCTTCAAACTGCAGAGATGAATACAGATTACAGAATATTCACAACCAGCTTTAAATTGTTATTGGAGAGTTCTATCATACGAGGGCAAGTCAATAAGTTTTTAGAAAAACATAATGTTTTTAGTAAAACATTTTTCTTTCTTGATCGATTCATTTTTATTTCTCAACATAGTCTCCTTTCAGCTCGATACACTTGATCCAACGATTCTCCAACTTTTTCAAGCCGTCCGAATAATATGATTCGTCCAACCCTTCAAAATAAGCCTCTGTTTCAGCGATGAGCTGCTCTCTGGTGGTGAATCTCTTTCCTGCGAATGATTTCTTCAGGTTTGGAAACAGAAAATAGTCGCAGGGGGCTAAATCTGGCGAATATGCTGGATGAGGTAGCAATTCGTAGCGGAATTCGTTGAATTTGGCCATCGGTGCTGGATACATGTGAATCCGTGCGTTGTCTTGATGGAAGAGCACTTTCTTCTTCGCCAAATGGGGACGTTTTTTCTTTAAAATGTTGTTGAAACGGTCCAATAAGGCTGCGTAGTAATCGCCATCGATCGTTTGCTTCGACGGAAGGTAATCGATATGAATTATACCGTGTGCATCCCAAAAAATTGTGGCCATCACCTTTGCGGCCAACTTCACGGTCTTCGCCTTCTTCGGAGCTGGTTCACCCGGTGAAGTCCGTTGTTTTGACTGTTCCTTCGTCTCGGGTGTGAAGTAATGGATCCATGTTTCGTCCGCAGTAATAAATCGACGCAGAAATTCATCTGGATTACGTTGAAACATCTCCAAACATTGTTTTGAAATCGTCACACGGTCGCGCTTATGGTCCACAGTGAGCAAACGCGGCACCCATCTTGCCGATAGCTTTATCATGCCCAATTGTTCGTGCAAAATTGTAACCACTGTGCCATGTGATATGCCTGTGGCCTCAACAAGCTCATCCACTTTCACTCGTCGATCAGTCAAAACAATATCGTGGACTTTATCGATGATTTCTGACGTAGTAGCCTCAATTGGACGTCCCGAACGAGGTGCATCACATGTGGATGTACAACCACGTTTAAATTTATTCACCCAATTGTATACAGTCGCGAACGTTGGTGCAGATATGCCATGAACATTATCCAACTCGGCTTTGATTTCTTTCGGCCTTAAACGTTTCATATATAGATGTTTGATCACTGCACGAAACTCGTTTTTTTCCATTTTGCAAAAAATACAAATGTTCGTTTTAATCGTCTACAGAAATCAAACTATACGATAAATTCCGCTCAAAATTTTAGAGTAATTAGCTGAAAGCTATTTGTCAAAAAGTAATGTGACATGACATTACGAGTGCCCTCTGACAGATTTTCTAAGAACTTATTGACTTGCCCTCATACCTTCATAAGTTCCAGTTTCAAGTAACAAGTATCGAAGTCTTTTTTTATAGCGTGTATTTCAGATTTTTTATTTCTAACTGTTGTTGCAACTTGAAAATTTCTGTATTTATAGTATCAACATTGACTGTCTGCGTTCCAATGCTTCTTGAATTGCTAAAAAATTAAATTTTTCCTGTTCGCGTCATAATCATTATATAAATAGTAATAATAATAATAATAATAATATTTATTATTATTATT